ATGCTCCACAAGCTAATATCTGCTAACCAGTTCAATAAATAACAGGGATTACATGGACTTTATAAAATTATTTTAATTTTAAACTGTTACATTATGTTCTGCTCAGATCACATTGAGCTAAATAAGATCAAATCTGTTGACTTGTGTTGTAAAATGAGACGTTTTCCTGTTTATCTTCTGTTAATAAATCCATAACACAAACAGCTTTTCTGACATTATTTAAAACATTACATAGATTATATAAACTGTAAAATATTAATAATAATTGGATTAATATAATTATTGTTTTAATGATTTCTACATTGCCAGTCCTTTTTTCCTGCTCTGTTGTCAACATGTACAGTAATGAGAAATCCAGTCTTGACCGTTTAGCGTTAGCCGTTAGCTTCACCAGTCGATCACACGGTCACCTGGTTTCTGAGCACTCCAGTTCTATAGAAGCTCCTTGAAACAAACCAATAAGAGGACAGAGGACATTGTTTAATTTCAGGAATGTAACAGGGATATTCAACACTGACTCTGGCTAGAGCACTATCATGTATCATAGATGACAACGCCCTGTGCTCTACATTAGAGTTGCATCCAAGAGAAAATATGTGCCGACTATATTTCTAAGTAAAACCAAACTTTACCCCAACAACACGTGGCATCTTTATCAGCCAGGAGTTAAAGCAGCAACTGCAGCAAACACGTGGCTTTGGTTTGACATTTCCTCTGCATGAACTCTTTCTGACTCCATCCAAAATGTCACATCACTGAGACCCATGGTTAATGTGTGAATGGACACGCATGAACAGCAGAACTTCAGTCTTTTTCATCATTTAACATGAATAATGCAAACATATGCATTCGACTGGTTTGTGTGATCTTTGCCACATAAGACTAAAGTAATTTAAGTTAAGTCTTAGAAATGTGACCCTGCCTTTTCCTTCAACCACTACACTTTATTTATTCTAGTTTTTCACAGCTCTCTTTTAAACCATAACAAGAATGCTGCACAATAGTCTTCTAAATGAGTATTCATAAGATAACTAGCAGGTTAGAAATGAACCACAGGTTAATAAGAGACGGGAAATAGCTCATTACGTGCTGAAGTTGGAAAATGCCTAAAGCTAATGCCAAGATCAGAATCCACAAACATGTAAATACTGGCCTACAGACACTCATCCCTGTTTCCCATTAGGAGGGAGTTCAAAGCCATCTGTGGTGGTGTCATTATCAACTCTTTCATACTGCATTGCCTAAWAACATCAAAGTAAACACATTTTCACTATCTGCATTCTACAATAGGATCAGAATTTAATACTGAAGAGAAAACAGAACAGATGGACTCTCGACAGCATAGCCCTCAATGTAAAGATGTTAAAGTTCTAGTTGAAGGTCTGCATCCACCCATCATGARCATGAAAAATCATTTATTTGAACCATTTATTTTCCAAAGTATAATGAATAATAAACACTCAACTTCAGTTATTTATTTAAAAACAAGAACTCCRTGCACAAGTTTGTATTTACTGTGAGTTTTCTCTAAACCACACCGAGTCAAAGTCTTCATATATTCATCAGTATCTTTTAATAAATGATGCGGAACATTCTAGATCATCTTAACTTGACATGACCAAGACTTATTCACTTCTAAATAGAGATCACGAGTGACTTTAGCKGATAATCTCTCCGTGTCAACATAAACAGGATGTGGTCGGCTGCAGTAATACTCATCTACCCTCAGATTACATGAAAAGTTCAGAAACAACCCAGGAACCATTAAGGATCAAGCTWGGCATGAATCTGCTGGAACACCAGTAGCTGCGTTTCCATTGACCATGAAAATGCGCAAATTAGCATTTCGAAAATAAATTTGCTCAATGGAAACATGTCAGTTTCGAAAAAAAAAAGACGTTTTTCGACTAAATGTTTTTGCGCTAGGATGAGGTGG